GGAGCCAAATTAGGATGGTAAGGTGGATACCTAATGATTTCCTATCAGAAGTCTTGCAAAATTTCCTTTGTTTGATGAGAGGAATAAGCAGGAGCATTGCGGAGGAGGAGGATTCTCTGGTGAAGCTTTCTTGAACATTTTTCTGCTAATGCTTCAGCTAAATTTCTCAGTACACTCTCATAATAATCACAGATTATTGCTCTTTAGCCCTCCAAAATTTCAACAAGAAAAACACCTTGAGCATCTCAAAAAACTGTTACTATGTTTTTTGCTCTTCTTTTTCTTTCTTTTTTTTTTTTTTAAAGAGAGAATTTTTTGCTATAGGGCACGTGAGACAGGGAGCAAAAAATCACCCCCAGGAGAGATGGCCATTTCAGTCAGAATTATGTAGAGCTGTCTGTGGTATTTTCTGTTAATCATCAGTCCTCTTCAATTAGAGCACAAACAAGATTAATTTTTTTCTAGCAAGTTAGCGAATGGTCTGCACTCTGGACATCATGTTCAACACCACCTAGTCCTTTTTTTTTTTAGAGGTTTTTGCTATAGGGTGCATGCGCTCGCCAGACAGACAGAGAGAGACAGAAAGCGAGAAATCACCCCCCAGGGGGGATGGTCACGCCGCAATCCCTTCTCCTCCATTCTCCTCTCGGGATCTTGGGCACGCACGCACGCACACGCGCCCGGCGTGAGTTTTAAGCCACCGGGTCGGGGACGCGAACCGCGGTCGACTATGTGGGAGTCCAGCAACATAGCCATTACGCTAACTGCTGGTTCCCACCTAGTCCTTTCTTTCTTTCTTTCTTTCTTTCTTTTTTTTTTTTAAGAGATTTTTGCTATAAGGCACATGCTCTCATCAGAGAGACAGAGGAATCACTCCTGGGGGTGCAACACAATTCCTTCTCCTCCATTTTCCTCTCAGGATTCGGGGCTGGGCATGCACATATAAGCCCCGGCGTGAGTTTCAATCCTCTGGGTCTGGGACTCAGATATCTGGTCAGCCATGTGGGAGTCCAGCAATGTAACCACTGTGCTTTCTGCTGGTCTGCCACCTAGTTCTTTCTTAAAACAAGTTATCTATTTGTGAACTTTTTCCGTCTTTGGGGCATTGTCCCCATAAACTTTTCATAATGCATCAGTGATTTCACCATTTTTCCACTCAAGCCAAACCGTAAATTTATAGTTTGTGTTTGCCTCAGTTTTAGTAGAATTCATGTTACTCTGACAGGGGCTTTTTTTTTTTTTTAATTTTGCTCAAGGGAATGTATGCTCGCCAGAGAAAGAGAAAAGGAGAGGGAGAAAAAATAACAAAGCATGCCACAGGAAGGTTGGCCATACTGCAATCCCTTCTCTTTCCATTCTGCTGTTAGGATTTGGGGCACATAATACACATGCCCAGCATGTTTTTCAAGCCACTAGGTCCAGATGTCAAACTACACAGTCAACCATGTGGGATCCAGCCGCCCCAATACCATGCCACTAGCTACCCGAGTAGGGCCAATAGTCCTATTCAGACGTGAAATAAGAAATATGAATTTATTTTAGTGCCAAAACATTTAAAATCCATTCATGATATTTTTCTGAATTTGTATTTTCCATGAACATTTTGGAGATTCCTGTAGAATTTTGGAAGAGAACTATCCATTATAAGCTGTTCTTGATATATCTCACTTACTGGGAAAAAAATTGTTTTATTACTATATTTTTAGAAACTTTGCAAGGTAGATATTTTAAAATAAAAGCACAGGTTACTAGGGAACCAGCAGTTAGCGTAATCGCTATGTCGCTGGACTCCCACATAGTCGACCGCGGTTTGCGTCTCGGACCTGGTGTCTTAAAACTCACACCGGGCGCATGTGCGTGCGTGCCCAAGATCCCGAGAGGAGAATGGAGGAGAAGGGATTGTGGCGTGACCATCCCCTCTGGGGGGTGATTTCTCGCTTTCTGTCTCTGTGTCTCTCTCTGTCCGGCGAGCGCACACGCCCTATAGGGAAAACCTCTCCCAAAAAAAAAGAAAAAGAAAAAAGCACAGATTACTGTCATAATTGTCATTTGTTTTCACAGAGATCTCTGATATAAGATGAAAAAAATCTTAAAAAAAAAAAAATCTTTATTATACCCACTACATTTAAATTTATTAAGTTTTGCTTTCATTTCCTGATACCTTAAGCATACTGGACAATTTATTTCATTCTTTCTCATTCATAAATGTTGGTAATTTTTTGCTCAGATAAATAATTTTTCTGTATCTATAAAGTAATCTAGAAAACATTTAAATAAACATATTCTAATTCCAATTAGAGTGGCAGTTGGTTTCATTGATGCTTAATTTTTCTGCTGAAGCCTAAAAATAAGCTCTCTTACTCTACAGTGTCTATAAAGTACTTGTGCTTTAATAACAGATGTTTTTATTTTCTAGCTCCCCATCTTCAGATTAGAAAATGCTGTGGTAGATGGCCCACACCTCGTAGAAAAACAGAAGACATTACCCAAATTGCCCAAGTCTGCACCAAGTATTCCACTTGCCCCAGTGGCTGCACGTCCTGGCCAGACTCTGCAATTCAAGCTGAGACTAGACCTCCCGTCAGGAACGAAGCTGACTGAAGGAGTACCCAGCTGTTGGTTTATAACTGCTGAAGGTATGAGGAAAATATTGCAGATGCAGATATTTCATGAGTTCTTGATGTCTAACCCAGTAGTTTTTCTCATTTGTTATGTCATACAAGAGGATGTCAAAAATCTTGTGGGAAAAATAGAATTAAAGTGTGAGTTTATTTTGGTACAACAAAATTTTGAAATCCTTTTGTAGTTTTTTTTTTTAATGTTACACATTTTCCATAAACTTTTTCAAGATTTTTTTTTCCTCTGTAATTGGGCAAGATTTGAGGGGATTATGTGAAAAGAGAATCCATATCTAGCCCCACTGTAGCAGTTTTCTTCAGTCTTCAAGATACGTTCCTTTCTTTTCACTAAAGAACAACGTAACTCACTGAAAGCTGCCCATCAGTTACTAGTTGTTTCCTGGAATGTGGACTTTGCTATACCTCTTTCTTTAGTCTAACCTTGGTTCTTCATTCTGTTCTTGTTCCCTAAAGGAGCCTCTTAGAGTTAAAAAGTCTGAAATAGAGAAATAAAGTGGAGCCTATTTACTTAGCATTTTTTCTAACTCTTCCTTGCAGTCACCTTCATGTGTTTCTCCTTTCCTTCTATGTGTATAAATTACAGGGTGAACTAGCACCTTATTTCATTCAGTGATAAGCGATCAGTATACCTCCTGCCTTGTCGTCATCATTTTCAACGTCTGTGGCATAGTGGGCAATTTTAAAGTGAGATACTAGTGATCTACATTATGGCTTCTTGTCTCTCATGGTCTTCCTCTGGCCTAGTTTCCCACGGTCTTTCACACGTCTTCACTCAGTTTCCATTTCCTCCCCAACTCCCTCTCCCTTGTGCCTTCTCACACACTTCTCTTCTGTACATTACCCAGATTCTGGCCTCATGCCTTCTTACCTTCATACATTCTCAGTGCAGCAGCTGCTGCCTTGCCCCCATCAGCTCCGTATCCAAACCACGATGACAAGAGATTGTGGTAGACTAGCCACAAGGGAATGCTGGTTAGCATTTGTGAGGCTGGCTCTCGGGTAACTGACTGAGCCTGTGGGGAAGCCACCCTCTCTCACCTCACAAAGATTAGGACTGACCATGCAGTATCAGGACAGTCAAAGGTAGTTTTGTAGACAGGAGTACTCAAACTGTGACCACTCCACAGCCCTCTGTAGGTTTAGAGCAAGTTTTAGACTTCCAGTTTACCTTCTTTGCCTGTGACCATTAAGTCTGAAAGCATTGTATCAGTTGGAGAGACTTCATTTCTCTCTGTATAATTAAAGGGCAGTATTGATTTTTAAAATAGGATATTAACAAATTAACCTTTTTATTAATTTTTTTTTATTCTTATTTATTTTTAGACAGAGTCTTGCTATAGTGATCCTCCTGTCTCACTGGGATGCCCCCATGCATCACCACACCCAGCTTTTTTCTTGTTTTTTTTTAAATAATTATTTTATTTTTTATTTATTCATTCTTTTTTTTAATTTATTCTTTTTT